CAATGCACATTCTCCATCACCAGGGTACCAGTATCCCCTCCCATCCCAACCCTCCTCCTGCCTCAATGGCAGACAGTCTCCCCCATACTCTCTTTTGTATTTCTTGTTATGAATAATAGCATAAGATATCCTGGAATTCTAAAATTTTAGATAATTAGGGTCTGGAGGGGCTGAAGTGATAGCACAGCGGGTAGGGTGTTTGCCTTGCACACAGCCGACCTGGGTTCGATTCCTCTGTCCCTCTCAGGGAGCCCGGCAAGCTACTGAGAGTATGCTGCCCGCATGGCAGAGCCTGGCAAGCTCCCCGTGGCATATTCGAGATGCCAAACACAGTAACAACAAGTCTCACAATGGATACGTGACTGGTGCCCACTCGAGCAAATCAATGAACAACGGGAGGACAGTGCTACAGCAGTACAGAATGCAAGCATTTTTGAAAAGGTATTTGCTGTGAAAGATATACTTCAATCTGGATGCATGCTGGACTGTTAGGCCATCATCTTTAAATATCGAGGCAGCATATAAAGATAACACATTAAAATTCTATTACACACCATTAAATTCTTTTACCGACGCGAAAGAGCTCAATAGAGCTCATGTAGTAAATTAGCCAAAGTACAATCTTGACATTGGAAAGCCCCAAACAGCTGCTCGTCTGAAGTGAAGTTGAAGGAAAACTTGATCTGACTTGGAATAAACTATTTACTTCTAAACGGGAAATACCTTCACTCGTGCCTGAAACTCCCACATCAATTTTCATTAGTTTTTTTTTTTTTTTGCCTTGCCTTCTGCATAAGTTTGCCAAAGAGCCCCCTCCTCGTGTACTTTCCTGGTTCTAAAGGGCAATTATCTTGCAAAATTTGAAATAAATCTCTTCAGCCAAGTCTGAATCATGAAGGAGGTTAAAATACATCATTTGACCCTCTGAGCAATAATAGAAGATTTCAGGAGGGGAAATCCAATTATCTGACGCACGGAAGAAACCGGAGCTCTTTGGGAAAAAAAAATAATTCAAAAATTTGAGGATGTGATTGAAAAATAAGCAAGGCAAAAGGTTTTTCAAAGTTTCAAATTGCCAAGTTGCCGGTGGAGGTATTGGTTTTCTGCAAGCTCCCGGTTTTGCTGATGGTATATTTATACAGCAACGAGAAGAAGAGAGATGGTTTACACATTCTCATTCAAGAGATGTCACGGGGCTACAAAAGACATTTTTTCCCCTCCTTTGCTTCTCATTCTCTCATTACCTAACAAATCGCGTTTCAAACAAAACATAGTAAATGCAAAATAGAAAAGTAAACCACAATCCCTGCAATTGGAATAAAAAGAGTATAAATAACCAAAGGAGAAAAATGAGAAGCTGGAGGTTTGCACAGAACCATTAATTCACTCTGCACAGACTGGAGACGCTTGGGATTATCCGCTAAGCCTTTAAATACACATTTTCTTAACAAGTAAGAAAGGAACTGGGCATATTCATGATTTGAAAATCACCTTCCCGTTCTTCTTTTGCCGATTAGGCCGCCTTGGGCCCAAACCAAAGTCCGCCTCCACCGCTGATCATTACAGTTAATGACAAATTGCCCATTAACTGTGATTTTTTCTGAACAGGGTCGGGATACGAAGATTTCATTTACCGGGGCTGGAGCGACAACAAAGCAAGGAGGCTACTGGTCTTGCATGTGACGAACCTAGGTTCGATCATCGGCATCCCATATGGTCCCCCGGGGGTGACTCCAAAAAGCCAAAAGATAAAAATTTCATTTACCTGCGTTTGTTGCCTAACACTGCCCCTGAGTCAAAGGAATTTTCTCTCTTCTGACACGAGGCTGCCATTCAGGTGCTCAGAACGGGCTGCCCTTTCTCATCCCTCTTAATTTTTTAATTGCTTTGCATTAGTTGATAGTGGGCTGGAGCGATAGCACAGCGGTAGGGCGTTTGCCTTGCACGCAACCAACACGGCCGACCCGAGTTCGATTCCTCCGCCCCTCTCAGAGAGCCCCGCAAGCTACCGAGAGTATCTCGCCGCACGGCAGAGCCTGGCAAGCTCCCCGTGACGTATTCGATATGCCAAACACAGTAACAACAAAGTCTCCAATGGAGATGTTACTGGGCCCGCTCGAGCAAATCGATGATCAACGGGAGGGTCTTTACTTTACTTTTAGTTGATAGTAGTAGAAACTTCCTTCGGGGTGGCTGGAGCACTAGCACAGCGGGTAGGGCGTTTGCCTTGTACGTGGCCGACCCGGGTTCTATTCCCAGCATCCCATAGGGTCCCCGAGCACCGCCAGGAGTAATTCCTGAGTGCATGAGCCAGAAATAACCCCTGAGCATTGCCGGGTGTGACCCAAAAAGAAGAAAGAAAGAAAGAAAGAAAGAAAGAAAGAAAGAAAGAAAGAAAGAAAGAAAGAAGAAAGAAAGAAAGAAAGAAACTTCCTTCAGGCCAGAGCGATAAAACAGCACTGGGGCGTTTGCCTTGCATGCAGCCAACCGGGTTCAATCCTCGGTATCCCACAGGGTCCCCCAAGCACCACCAGTAGTGATTCCTGAGTGCAGAGCCAGGATTCAGCCCTGAACATCACTGTGTGTGACCCCCAAAATCAAAGAAAGAAAGAAAGAAAGAAAGAAAGAAAGAAAGAAAGAGAAAGAAAGAGAGAGAGAGAAAGAAGGAAGGAAGGAAAAGAAAAGCAA